TGCCCCTTCGGATCACTACGTTTGTATCTTTAGGGTAAATACCCAGCGGTGCGATTGCTGGGTCATAGGGTAGTTCTATTTTCAACATTTTGAGGAACCTCCATGCTGTTTTCCAGAGTGGCTGCACCAGCTTGCATTCCCACCAACAGTGTAGGAGGGTTCCCCTTTCTCCGCATCCTCACCAGCATCTGTCATTTCCTGACTTGTTAATTTTAGCCATTCTGACTGGTGTGAGGTGGTATCTCATTGGGGTTTTGATTTGTATTTCCCTGATGCCGAGTGATATGGAGCACTTTTTCATGTGTCTGTTGGCCATCTGGATGTCTTCTTTGCAGAAATGTCTGTTCATATCTTCTGACTTGGGCAAGTCTCTTAACTCAAAAGTTCTTCTTGTCAAATGGCAATAAGCATGCCCACCTCCCTCGGGGTTATGGGATGGATGAATGAAATGATGTTTTAGAGTGTGAGGCATGGAATGGGCATTCACTCAAGAGTCACAATCATTATCTGAATTCAACAAGCTTTCACCATTATAAATCTATAAGAAATGCCTCCCTCCCCAACCCCTCCGTCTCACTGGCTTCCTATCACAAACCTTTATTTTGTTCTGGCAGTTGAAGGGATGGGCAGCTCAACTTCAGGCCTGCCTCAGCTTTCCTTCATCCCAAGACCAGTGGCTTCTGGGCAAGCACTTCTCATGGCAGAGGACGGAAGCTCCAAGAAGGCTGGTGCCTTGCCTTGGGACTGGCACATGTCACTTGAGCCCACATCCCATCAGTCTCAGGGCGAAGCCCTAAACCCCTTGGCGGGGCATGGGTGCTCTCCCCCAGGGAAGCCATGGTAATGGTGGGGAGGGAAGAGGCATCTCTGGGCAAACAGTGCAATGTACCCTATTATCTGTGTCGACCGCTTGAGTTTATAGATGGGGAAACTGAGGCCCAGAAGAAAAGGAAATATCCAAGCTCACAGGGCATCAGTGACCCACAGATTATTCTTCTCCTTCTCCTCCTCCTCCTCTCTTGGGCCTCAGCATGTATCCCTAAAATCAGCATTTGCTGATTTTGAGTTCAATCACTTGAGCCCCATGAGAAGGACTATGGCAGTGAAGAAACAGGATTCTCTCCATCTTCCAATAGGGCAAACAGAATCCCTGAGCGGTGACTCACCTGTGACCACACTACTACGTCAAAGGAACAAGGAAAGAAAACCCAGGATTCCCAACTTGACCTGCACGGTGGACTGGCCAACCCCAGATTCCATCAGGGCACAAGAGGAAACCCAGCAGATAAAGCAGGGAGGAATCTGCCTGGTTCCCGCCCCTCCCCAGAGTGAGTACTGAGTGACTGGGACAGCCAGGAATCCAGCCCTCTGGGTCCAGGAGTGTCCCTTGGGATGGCTGTCATTCTCTCATTGACCCCCTCCCCTGCCCTCTTACACCCGGACTACAGACTGACCCTTGAGAAATCCAAGTGAATGAGGTATCGTCCAATGCGAGACAGACTCTCCCATAAATAATGACATCCCAGCTGTTCAAGCAACATTCCCCAAATGTGGAGCAATTTGAAATGATCTTAGGGCGGACCTGGATGCGACATTCTACAACACTGACTCTTGAGAAAGTTGTCTTCTCAGTCCTTCTGATTACCCTACGAAAGCGGTCCCAGTTTTGAGAAGTGTGTCTTTAACGTGTCTTTAACCCTTGCTAATCTTCATTTATTACCAGAGCCAGAGAGCAGCCTTCGGGCTCACAGTGTTGGTAGGTGGCAGCGTCTAGGTAGAATTTAACACCATTATGTAATATTGTTTCATCTGACAACATTTACTTTATTGGACCTTAGCTATTTTCACTGCATTTGCTTTTACAACTACATTTTATTTGTGGCAAGTGATCCTGCCTATTCCATTTATAGTGATGATGTCAAGGTTTTCTTTTGAAATAAACTTATTTATATACCAAAGTGAGTCCATTCAGAGAGAGACATTAGATAACTAGTAGTGTAGGCAGTACACAAGCTATCACGATGCTGTTTTGCAGGTGTGGCAAGAACAGTGGAAAGGGGTATGCAAATAGATAATGTCTGGAAAACTCTGCTAGAACATACGTTCGAAGTGGCTGGGCTGCCTCAGGGAGGGGTTTGGACCCCTCAAAGAGGGGCCTACCTGAGTTGGGTATTTTAGGTGGAGAAACACGCAAAGAGATGGGGCGGTGGTGCAGCATGACGGGAGTCTATCTGTGCACCTTGACTCCCAGGAGGAGAAACCAGGGGTGGATGATGGCAAGGGAGGGGGCAGCAGATCAGTGTCCATCAGAAGGTTGGAACTGCCTCAAGCAGAGACAGAGGTATCCAGGTGGCAGGGTCCCAGGCCCCCATCAACATCTCTTCCTGCTAGAGACCCCATCTTGAGGATCCAAAACCAGAATTAGACTGGGGAGAGAGAAGGAAAGAGTTACGCCCCCCATTGCAGGACTCTGGGATCTTTAGAAACTTGGATCCTCCCTCCACCCCATCAGCCCAGCCCTGGGGGTGGGGAGCACTGAGGCAGGGTGGCCCAACCTCCTTCACAAGGGCCAGATGAAGCTCAGAGCCATTGTGAGATCAGCAAGGGAATGGAGGATCGCCAGTTCCTCCAGGTCCCAAAGGGTCCTAACAGGACCCCTTCCCTCCCCCACATCCACTTCCCAGGTCTGATGTAGACAGCCCCAGGCTCCTGGGAAGGTAAGTGTCCCATTAGACTTATTGACCTGGAAGGACATCTAATGCTGGGGCTAAGAGAGGGAGAGAACCTGGCTCAGGTGCAGAGGAACGTACCTTGGACAGGGTTGCGACAGTCTCGGCCACAGGCCCCGAGGCAGCACCGACTGGAGCCCCTGCAGTCTGAGTCTTTGTTACACAGGTGCTGTATGGGGCTGAGGCAGTGCAGGCGGTCCTCAGGGCAGTTGCCCCGCTTCACTGCAACACAGGGGCTGGTAAGCCCTGCTCTGTGCCCAGCCCCGGGGCTTGGGCGCCAAGCAGGGCGGAGGAGGACACTCACCGAAGACCGTGGGGACACACTGGCGGAAGCAAGCTTTGTAGCAACACTTCATCCTTGAGGGACACTGGCTGTCATCCATGCAGTGGTCAGGCACCGAGAGGGGACAGGGCCCATCGTCCGGTGGGCAGCCCCCAAATTTCTCTGCAAGAGAACCCCCAAGTCTTGTAGCTGGAGGCAGCTCTGAGTCATGTAGTAAGCACCTGGGAATCACGAGATCCAAATTCTCTATTCCTTATTTCTTGCCTGTCCTTTGGCAAGCTTTTGTGTTGTTTTGTTTTTTGTTTTTGCTGTGGGGGGGGGAGTAGACTTGCTTTTATTTGTATAATAAGTATAATTGTATAATTTTATTGTATCATTGTATAATTTTATTTGTATAATAAGTATAATTGACGTAACTTGTTAGTTTCAGGTGTACAACAAAATGATTTGATATTTATATATATTGTGAAATGATCACCACAGCAGGTCTAGCTAGCGTCTGTCCCCATGCAGAATTAGAAATTTTTTTCTTATGATGAGAACTTTTAAGATTTTCTCTCTTAGCAACTTTCAGATATGCAATGTAGTAAATTACCTATAGTCACCATGCCGCCCATTATATCCCCACGAATTATTTCTCCTATAATTGGAAGTTTGTACCTTTGACTCCCTTCCTCCACCTGCCCTACCTCCTACCCATGTCCCCTTGCAAAGACCAATCTGTTCTCTAAGAGCTTGTTTTTTTTTGTTTGTTTGTTTGTTTGTTTTGATTTCTTGGTTCCAACGTGAGATCATACAGCATTTATCTTTGTCTGCCTGATTTGTCGCCTTCAGTGTAACATCTTCAAGGTCCGTCCACATTATTGCAAATGGTTGGCAAATTTTTTGATTTTGTTTTTTGGACGGCAAGCCTCAGTTTTCTGTCTGTGGAATGGGAAGCTGGACTCCTTCCTCCCAGGGCTGCTTTGAGACTCAGATGACATGAAGGATGGCAACAAATGAAATTCAACACTGGCATCTGGGCCAACAAGGTCGTGCCTGGCCCAGGGCTGCCCACCTCCTTGTGTTCATCCTCAACACCTTTTCCATCCCGGGCTCCTGCTCTGCTCCCATCTGCTTCTCTTGGAGGGGTCTTCTTTTGCGGGTGCTCTGCATGGTGCTCTCTCCTCTAGTGGAAACACGGCATCCTTGGGAGACCCTCCTTATCTGACCCCTGCTCCCCAGACTAATTAGGTCAGCACCCCGCACTCTTTCCTTCAGAGTTTGTGACTCTGCATCTATCTGTCTGCTTCTCTCCCTTGGCCGGAGGCTACGAGAATAGATCCCGTTCCTGCTTCTCTCACCATCAGACCGAGGTACGGTCTTTGATGCAGACCACCAGCGCTCAGCGACTGTTAGAAAGGAAGGATTTTCAAGTGTCTCCCAGCATCGTCAGCTGTCATCAGGTTGCTGCACTGTCACACAGCCGGCCGTTATTGGGCACACCTTGTACTGTGTGCTTGCCCTGTTGCATGTGGCCTTGTGTCAGGGATCCGTATGAACTTGGTCTTTGAGGTCTTTGAACTTGGTTCTCTCACAGTTCTAGAATGCTCTGTCCCAGAGCTGATCTAGCTATTTTTCTTGTTAGGATGTTGGGCCATTTCCAGATTTCACACAGAAGGCTTGAATCAGTATCTTCTTCCACTTAGAGGAGAAAGTCAAGGGTTGGAAGGGCAGTGATTGTCCAGACCCACAGGGACCTGAGCTAGGACTTTGAGTCCTCTGGCCTCTTACCCCTCTGCTCCGGCCACCACTGAGTCCTGGGGAGGATGGAGGCTGGTCCCAGGCCTTCACTTTAGCATCTGAGAAAAGGTTCAAAAGCCTCCAACAGCAGCTGCAGCCAGTGCCATGACTGTACCTTGCATCTCCCTTCCCCTTCCAGCCCCATCTGCACGCATAGGGGACACCTTGCTCACACAGCAAGTGCTCAAAACCCACTTCACTAGGTCCATCGGGTTGTCTTACACTGAATTGTGCCCCTGCTGGAGAAAGGGCAGCTAGTCTGTGAGGGTGCCCCCTACTCCGATAAGCCCCTCCTCCCCGGCTGGGAGTTGGTGAGACCCCAGGAGGCTCTGAGGTCCAGGGGGGTAGCCCTGGCCAGAAGAGCTCAGGCCTTGGCGAGTGAGCCCAGAGGAGTGGCCTGAAGTCTAAGAGGGTCTCCTTGTGGGCTGGGGTGGAGTGGAGGGGACCTGGTCATGCAACCAGGAGAGCTCCTGGGAGGAGGGGCCGGGAGCTGAGCCTTGAGGAATAGAAAGACAGGAAGAGAGAGTCAGAACTGGCATTTCAAGTAGCTCAGTTTTCTCAGCTGCAAAATGGGGATAAAAATAGTCCCAATCTCTCAGCATCTCAGTGAGGAGCCACATGAATCACAGCCAGCAGGGGTCTGGCCTTGGAACTCACCAGCATCCTTCCCTCCTCAGCCAGGGCCTGAGCACTCTGCTCCCCAAACCAGTTCGCACCCCAGGGAGAGAGCCCAGCCTCGGAGGAAGGCATAAGTTAGGCTAGAGGGGGCAGAGAGGATGTCAGGAGCTGCTCCCCAGCACTGTGGAGGAGGGAACCTGTCCCCATTACTGTCATCTTCCCCCAAGGGAGGGCCAGGGATGCATGGGTGTATGTAGGTCATGGCGTTCCAGTCCCAGAAAAGCAGGAAGCGGAGGCCTTCCCCAGGTGGGGAGGCACCTGTCCAGCCTCGCAGCCCCAACGTTCCTCACCTGTCAACACCTCCTCCTTTTCGAGGAGGCTTGGGAGAAGAGAGGTAAGGGTAGAGCTTCTTCCCAAAGATCCCAGAAACCACAGCCCTACCTAGTTTGGGAGTCCCTCATGCCACCGATTGGCCCCTGGGACCTGGGAAGAACCTGAGAAAGTTGGAAACAAGATGGGCAAAGGCCAGGCCAGGCACAGCCTCGGTAGCAACAGAAGATGACAGAGAGGGTCATCGTGCTGCCATGCGGGCCCACGGATCCTAATAATCCACGGAGACAACGAGGGAAGAGCAGGTATGGACAGGTTTGCTCCCTCCTCCCCCAGAGACACAAAGAGACACGCGTGTGCACAGACACACACAATCCCACACTCAGATATGTAGACGAGACCGTGACCTTGGCAGGAAGACCTTCACTGCTGCAGACGGGGCAGGCTGGCAGCACAGAGATGTACCAACAAAACACCAGCTGCTGGAAGCATCCAGAAGCTGGCATCCCCAGCTACACACACAGACGTCACACTGCACTGCCTCCCCCAACCCTCACTCTCCCCAGAGACATAAGAACTACCCTGTCCCTGGAGCAGAGGAAGCCACCCACACTCACCTCCCTTCTTCCTGGCGGAGGCAGCAGGCAGCTGGCTCCCCAAAGCCAGGAGGGCCGCCAGGAGGAGAAGGCTCCAGGCCCTCATGTTTCTGCTACAGGCACTTAATAAGGCCAGGGGCCCGGGGCGCCCTAAATTGACCCCTGCAGCTCCAGGGAGGCCAGAGCAGCTGAGTCAGGGAGGAAGGAGATGAGGTGGATGGTGAGGTTCTTGTTTGCCTTGTCCTGGTCCCGCCCCCTGTCCACGAGCCTCAGGGCAAGTGTGCTTGTGTAAGAGCTGAAGATGGGTGGGTGGGAGCAGGGGCTGGGTGTTGGGGGCCAGGATCCAGTCCTGCCTGCTGGACTTGGACTGTGATCTCCAGTAAGCCGGCTCCCTCTCCGGGCCTCAGTTTTTCTCATCTGGATAAAGAATGAAGGTTGTTGAGGCAGGAGATCACTGTCCTGGCTCTCTCAGGTCCTGCCGCCCCAGCAGTGGCATAGGCGGGGGACAGGAGTCAGCTTTGAATGGCAAGAAGGGGGTGGCAGTGTTCTGGATGCCAAGGAGGAATTAGGGTTAAGGTCAGAGCTCCCTGCTGGAGAATGTGGGCTGGGGCAGGCACAGTGAGTGAGGCCAGCTCCGGCCTCTCCTCCGGGGCTTCTGTGGAGAGGAGAGAAAGAGACCTTCCTGCCACTGGTGAATCACATCCAGTGGCATCTGGTAGAACCGCCCTCTGCCTGGGACTGGCTCAGGGCTCAGGGTGGTTGTTTGTTTGGCTGAGGTGACTGGTCACAGCAGATGTAGGCGGCTTCTGGGACCCCTTCCCTGGCCCTAGGAGATCCTGAGCAAGAAATCATCACCGCCAAGGACAGCACCTTAGATATCAAATCATTTGGCTTCTGCATCTGGTGGAAGAAGCCCTGCGGCTCAGGGTCTTCTGGGGCCACAGACAGAGGCTCCCACAGAACCATAGGACCTTCCCACGACTTGGGGAGGTCAAGATCATCCTCGCCACCCTCCCACTTGAAAGATGGGGGAACAGAGGTCAGAGATGGGAGGGAACTGGCTAAAGGACCCACAGTTGATTCCTAACTAAGGTGGGACTTCTGTCATTGCCTGCCCATGATCCCCATCAGTTACTGGGCCTTGGAAGCCAGGCCTTACTTCATCTGACCCTAAGAAAGGAAGAGGTTATTCCATTCCAGGACAACCCTCACAGCCGGGAAATTTGTCACTGGGTTTAACTAGAACCCCTTGTGCTATCTTCAAAGCTCTCAGGAAAACAGGGACCTTATATTCTATGATCTGATGTTTCTTTTGGAATAAAAGGAGAATATGGGGCTACCCCCCCATTACAAACTACACATGTATATTGAATAAATGCTTTTTCAATTAAGACGATTTTGTAGACATTTACCTGTGTCCTCCAATATCATCATTTTTAATGATTACATGGTATTTTGTAGGACTGATATGCTAACACATAGTTGCCTATGGTGAAACATAGGTTTCCATTTTTTTTTCCCCACTCAAATAAAGCTGTGGCAACAATATTTGTATGTACATTTTGGGTCATATCTCTATTTTCTTAGGGTAAATCTGTCAAAATAGAAATGCTAGGTCAGTCAAAAGGTACAAACTTCCAGTTATAAAATAAAGAAGTCCTGGGGTTGTAACAGACAGCATGGTGACTACAGTTAGTAACACTGTATTGCATATTTGAAAGTAGCTCAGAGAATAGATCTTCAAAGTTCTCATCACAAGAAAAAAGTTTATAGGTGATGATAAATGTTAACCAGACTTGTTCTGGTGGGAAAATATAAATATCAAATTACTCTGTGTAACTGGAAACCAATATAATGTTATATGTCATTATATTTCAATAAGAAACCTCAAAAACAAAAACCAATGTTTAAAAACCAAAACAGGGGCACATGCCTGTCTCAGTCAGTAGAGCATGTGACTCTAGATCTTGGGGTTGTGGGTTCAAGCCCCACGTTAGGTGGAGAGATTACATAAAAATAAAATCTTTAGGGGTGCCTGGCTGGCTCAGTGTGTTAAAGCCTCTGCCTTCGACTCAGGTCATGATCCCAGGGTCCTGGGATCGAGCCCCGAATTGGGCTCTCTGCTCAGCAGGGAGCCTGCTTCTCCCCTCTCTCTGCCTACTTGTGATCTCTGTCTGTCAAATAAATAAATAAAATCTTTTAAAAAATCTTTAAAAAATAATGAAACAAATAATACATTATATGTTAATTTTATAAAATTTAAAATAAAAAAATAAAGAATAATAAACCCAAATAAAAACCCAAACCAATAAACAAAAAGAAATGCTAGGTCAAAAGGAGTGATTGCTTTTCAGGTTTTGAATATCCAGTCAAACCGCATTTCAGGAAGGAAGTAAATGAGTGTATGACAGCCTCCAGCTATCTCTTGCTTTTGTCTGCCGGGTATCTGTTCCTTTTGTGGAGTCATTGCTCCCAAGTCCTGTGATTCTGGTTGGCTGCCAATCACCAAGTACTTCTCCAGTCACTGGTGAGGGCACTTGACTAAGGTTTGAGTAATTGGACTCTTCTCTTACCCAACCCGCTCCTCCATTCAAATCCTGAACAGAGGAGGCAATGCTGTAAAGAGAACAGTCTAAAATTCTGTTGTTGATTACAACCAAAGATCCCTAACAGATATACTCACTAAAGAAAGACAGGATGCTAAAAGAAAAGTATATAAAATCTTTGCCAATGGGAATGTATGTCGTTTTATTTCTTTATTATTTTTAATGATTTTATTTATTTATTTATTTGTCAGAGGGAGAGAGAGCGAGCACAAACATGGGGAGCGGCAGGTGGAGGGAGAAGCAGGCTCTCCGCTGAGCAAGGAGCCTGATGTAGGACTCTATCCCAGGACCCTAGGATCATGACCTGAGCCGAAGGCTGTTGCTTAACTGATAGAGTCACCCAGGTGTCCCCAAAAACCATGTTAATTCTTTAATCCATCTGACATTTATGTTGGCACTGTGTGTGTGACATAGGGGAATACCTTTTTTCTAAGTTATAATACCTTTTTTCTCAGTTTTTTCTAAGCAGCTGCCTTGGTATCATTTAGTGAATAATTCAAACTTTGGCCATTGGTTGGAAATCAGAACTTTATAAAAAAAGGAGGTCTTATATGTAACAAGGGACATTTCCAGGTTTTCTGCTCTTTTCCCTCAACTAGTTATTCCTGGGCCAGTACAGCTTTTGTAACTTTAGCTTCTTCAAGATATCTTCAAGACAGGTGGTGTTCATTACCCCTTGCTAATCTACCTCTTCAGTTGTCCCTGATACAAGGATTCCATTCTTCCAGATGAACCTAATAATCTTTTTTTTAAGTTACAAGAACAAATGTGTTGCTTTTTGTTAGACATTTTACCATAAAAATTTTCAAAACTACACAAAAGAACAGTAAGTACTTTTATGAAGCCTTGTCTTCCCATCACCCAGATTCAACAATGAACATTTTCCCCCAGCTTCGGTGAGATGTAATGGACCCATAGCTCTGTGTAAGCTTGAGGTGCCCAATGTGGGTGATGTGATACATCACAATATGCGGTACATGTTGCAAAAGGCTTCCCAGGAAAAGATTAGTTAACACATCCTCTACTCCACCCAATTACAATTCTGTGGTGGTTGTTATGGTGTGAACATTACATTTTATTTCTTTTTTTGTATTTATATGAGATGATGGTGTTAACTAAACTTACTGTGGTCAACATTTCATGTTCTATTTAAGTTAAATCATTGTGCCATAAGCTTAAACTTATATTGTGCTACTTGTCAGTTGTATCTCACTAGAACTGGGAGGAGGGAAAAGTGAGCAGAATTCAGCAAGGAAAATGAAAAGCTCTACTCTCTTAGCAACTTCCAAGTATAGAATACAGAATGGAGAGCTGTTGTCACCGTGCTGTACATTAGCTCCCTGGAATGTAGTCATCTGATAAGTGGAAGTCCCCACAATTAACATTCTCCGACACTTCCTTCCTGAATACCCCACCCCCCTTTCCTGGCTGGTGTATTTTAAGGTAAATCCAATGCGAGGGGCGCCTGGGTGGCTCGTTGGTTGAGCCTCTGACTGGTGATTTCAGTTCAGGTCGTGATCTCATAGGTTGTGGGGTCAAGCCCCTCATAGGGCTCTTCGCTCATTTGGGAATATGCTGGAGATTTTTCCTCTGTGTATGTGCACATATTAGCATTCTCTCTCTCGCTCGCTCATTAAAAAACAAACAAACAAACAAAAAACCTTTAAAGTAAATCCAGCTCATCTCATGTTTTACCCTTAAATACTCCAGTATATGTCTCAAAGAAATAAAGACATTTTCTCACATAACCCTGATACTGTTGTCATACCTAACAAAATTAACAGTAATTTTTTAACATCTAACGTTCTGTTTGTATCCTGTTTTTCTTATCATCTCAGAAATGACTTTATATGGTTGTTTGTTTAAGTCAGAACGCAAGCAAAGTGCTCATATCGCGTTGGCTGTAATGTCTTCTGTTTCTTTTAATGTAGAACATTCTCTCCAAATCCTGTTCCTCCTCTTCCTTCCCTTTCTTCTCTTCCTTCTTCATGCTATTTATTTGGTGAACAAAACAGATGAAGAGTTCTGTAGTGTGTCCCACACAACTTTCCTGTGATACCTTTCAACATACTTCTCTATCCTTTGTATTTCCCGGAGATGGACATTAGCTGTAGAGGCTTCGTGGGGTTCAAATGTCAAGTTTGACTGTCAAGAATATTTCTCAGGTGGATGCTGTATGCTTTCTGTCTCTTCACTTCAGGAGGAACACGGGCCTCGCTGACCCCTTTTAGTGTGGTGAAGATAGAGCAGTGCATTGTAGGAGATGTCTCCTAAGATTCCATTGAGAAGCTGTGCTCCCCAATTTAAGAATGGCAGACAGATTGTGGGGTGAGAGTTAGGCACCCTATAAATGTCTGGTCCCGGTCAAAAATTCACCTCATGATTTCAGAAACCATGGATAATTATCACCCGAATCAATGATTTCATTAGGGGTTGCAGAAACCCACCAGGTTTTGGTTCATAATATAAATTATGGTGGCCAAGATGGACATCTTTACCT